GATATAGTAAGACCGTGGCTCATGAGCACATGGTCCAAGAGTGTATGCAGATACATCACTGTAAGTGGACACACGCACCGCACCACCACTGCATGATTTTTTTTTAAGAACCCTGTGTTTGGCATTGGTCTAATTACACTTTTTAAAACCCTTATTGCAAATCTTGCAATGTATGAATAGAACATTAGTGGTGTGATTTTTTTACAATCATGTTTATTAGCCCAACATTAAGCATATTCACATCGTTACACAATACGATTTAAAACAGCCACATCGCGATCATTAAATGTGGCATTACGACAACGTGCACGGTGTTAATCTTACGCACGCACGCGGTATTCACGGGTCATCATCGCCGCTGTGGCAACTTGCCTGGCCATACGCTCGTAAAAGTCGCGAGCTCGCATCCCAGTCAAGGGTTGAATCGTCTCCATCATCCCCTGAGGGTCAATAAAGCAGGCATCGCGGTGGCAATTTCCTCTGGGGAGGACTGTTCCCGGCCATTGGAATGTGTAATTTCCCACTCGTTTTTGGCTCAGTGTGTCCACACAAGGCACGGGCCACTGCCCATCTCTCAGAGGTCGCAACCGGGTACCCGATACCCGTACCCTACCCAATACCCGGCTACGGGTAGCCGTTTGCGACCCTGGTGCGGCCGGGTACGGGTACGGGTAGTCCGTGAGTCACTGGTGAGTCACCATTTGTCACTCATTTCGGGTAGGGTACGGGTACGGGTAGGGAACGGGTACCCGTACCCAGCTGGGTACGGGTTCGGGTACCCATTTGCGACCCTGGTGCGGCCGGGTACGGGTAAGGAATCAAAACCCGTTTGCGACCTCTGCCATCTCTCTCGCACTTGAGCAAGAGAGACACATCTCTTGACGGCTCAACTTCCACACAGTCCGTGTCGCGCCGCGCTTGCGCGCTGCCGCGTGGCTTTGACGTTGCCGAAAGAAAATAAAAAAAACAGTCCTTGCAATTGTCGCCTCTTCCAGTCAAACGCTTCATGAACTCGCTCGAGATGTACGTATATATATATATAAAATAGCAATGTCCGTCTGGGACTATTAAATATCCATCATTATTCCATACGCGCCAATCTCTGTAACGCCACCGGTAATTGTGTTTTATGCCATTCCGCCCGCGAGGGTATAATTGCTTTCTCAGCGCGAGAGTTTGCTCAGAATTAGAACGGGGGGGGGGGGGGGCGGGCAAGAGGAAGGGGGGCCCAAGTGCCCTCCGACGGCTCACGCCACGGCGCGCTGGCGGTCCGTTTAAAGGGAGCAATCGCAGCACGTGGCTAAAGCGATGATTACTTTGAGGGGGGGGGGGGGTTACCCTACTTTATTCATTTTTAGCAGCAGTTTTTTTTATATCCCCGCACAGCCAAACAGATTCACACGGCTGGACCAAAACCGCTGCTCCCCCCCCCCCCCCCCACCGCGCTCTTTAAATAGCCCAATGCCCGATTGTGCGTAGCTCCGAGTCAAATGCGGCGAATTGCCTCCTTTAAAAGCCGGTGGGGCGACCCTCTGCTGTGCACGGCTTAATAAGCACACGGATCGCCCCGCGCAGGTGAACGCTCCTTGGGCCGTCGCGCCAACGTGCCGAGACGATGCTCGCGCCCAGCGTGGAATTTCACCAAAATGAATATTGGGGGAAGCGGATCCCCCGTTGCCGCAGCGTGTGCGCGGCGGACGGAGTTCGTCGAATTATCTAAACCGCGGGAAAGGCACCGTTGGCATCGAATGTCGTCGGTGTGCCGTGCCTGATTTGGGACAGTTTGAGGATTATTTTGAATAAGAATTGCCACCCCGGGGCGGTGTTCTGACGGCATTGCCCCCGTCACTTGAAATTAGAAGGTTGCAACTTCAAATCCTGGCCGAGTATCATCTTAGTCAATTTCGCAGGACGTTAACAATGAACGAGGTACGGAGAAACAAAGAATAATCCTGCCGTGGGAACGTGGAAATTCCACCATCAGTTCAGGGCCACAGATAAATTACAAGCAGTTATTTTCTTGTTTCATTTCAACTGTCGCGTTTGTATTCTGATTTCATCTCCTTCGTCTGTTACCATTATCCAAAAAGTACCCAATAGGATTTGATTACCAGATAACAAATCTTGCATAATACCTTCTTACACCACAATTCAGTTCATGCAGCCCCACCATCACAATTTAATTTCATCCAGAATTAAGGTGATGCTAATATGTTATTCAGTGGACATTCACTTAATCGAATGCATACTCTGCTTCTTTAGTTACCGTCATGGATTGACAAGTCCACTGCAATGGGAATGCCATAGTAATGTGGAATTTGCATGACTGGATAGTGTTCATCTCTTGCGGGCAACTACAATAGTTCGACGATGCTTCGTCGGGGTTGCACCGCGTGTTGTCCGGCACAATGTTCGACGTTTCGCTTCACAGCCTTTCTTCTGGAACTGAATTTGCGGTATAATCGGACAACCTGACAGAGGGCTTATCCAGCGCGGCCGTGATAACCTACGCAGCAGCCGCAAGAGATGAGCACCACCCAACACGGAGATACCTTGACAAAGTTGCAGTGGTCGTCCACACACATAGATATGCAAAGACAAAGATCCCCCGTACTGCCTTGAACAGACTGTAGTGGCAAGTGCTGTTCGCGAGCACCTAAGAAGGGCGGCACGGCACACGAGGTGGTGGGTGGCAAGCACCACACCCGGCCGCCTTTGTCTCCCCCGTCCTGACGTTTACATGCCATAACAGGTACTCAGTTTAAGGCTGAGTTTACCTTGGGGGAGGCCCAGGACCAGATTCAGATATTCGCCACTGTTATTAGCGTTGCTAACCACTACACTACCGTTCCCCACCATCACACACACAGACAGACCTTTCCTTTGCAGCTCAATTAGCCAATGTATCTGTGCCGCGATTCTCTATTTGTTCATTATAGGTCTATAAATAAGGGTTCCTTTACACGAACAATTAAAAATAGAACAATTACAGCATGTACGCACGATAGGCCTTTCCACTAAACGTATATAATCATTGTTGTTCGGCAGATCACAGGGAATCCTTACGTAGTCACTTTTATCTTTGTTTGTGTGTTCTTAAATTGTAGATGTCTAAAAATATCACAACAGAACAGTTACAAATGAACTACGAGTTAGTCGTGTATCCAGTCACGTTCAAATAAAAATCTGTTTGTGGTTCAAATAATCAAATCTTTTTACGAAGGTTTCATCGGTTAATGCTTTGAAATGTGCACATTTATACCCGCAGTGCATGCAAATGCACTTTGTAGCATTGTACAATAAAGCGTCACCCGTTTTAGCGAAAAAAACAGGGTCTTAGTCATTCATACCTCTTTGCAAACGGACACGTTAATTTCCACGAGCTTTGTCCGTGCAATGTTGTGTCGAACAGGCTTCAGTGCTGTATATTTAATGTTTTAAAATAACCTAATACTGAGTCCCAGTTGAGCTATTAGAGTCGAGGGAATCCAAAACAGCGGTGGGATTTTTTTTCGTAGCATGTCCCTCCGATCGGTCAGTATGGTATCACGTTGTGTTGCGAAACGACGCTGGAAGATGGTTAAACGGCGATGAGATGTTAACTACCTCGCCTGGTATACAGGAGGTCGTGGGTTCGATCCTGTCCCCTGACGCCTGCTGCGTATTTGGATTTTGCATTTTTCTCTCCCCAATGGTCGCGTTGATTTCGCTCCGGGCGCGCCGGATTTTCCCCTCCACATTTAGAATCAACATCACGCGTTTAGAGTTACTTGGCTGCTGTAAATGTCCACGTGATAAGCGACTTCGTTGAACTATCATCTGTGGCCAGGTAGCTTCTGGAAAAGAGCTACGTAGTTCAGTGGGGCCTTACTTTGGTAAAATAAAACAAATTGTAGTTTATAGATGGTTGTCTCTTCAGAGAGCCTTTCCTAAGAGCAACCGCTAGATGGCAGATTAAGTGGTCTAGATCGCTAAAGTATATATCAATACGTGAAACAAATAGAGCTATGAAGTGTATAGTAATGTAGTGTCATTCCCTTGTTTGTGTACCGACTATCGTTATAATAACTCACTCGGCATTCTCACAGACGCTGCGGTATGTGGCAACATTTGGCAAATTATTCCGTCGGGAAAACCCCATGCAATAAAAAATATATATGTAAATGTGTGTTGTGTGTATTACGCGTGAAGTCAGATCTTAAAGGTGATCTGGTTAGATGGTATTGTGGTCATACCACAGCTGATAATCGGAAGGTTGATAATGAAAACCCTGGTCAAGGCATAATTCGACCTATCATCCTTATGTACGTATAAAAATGTGTACAACTTTCGGAAAAGTCTACATTGGTTGTCCTGTGAAATGACTGGTCCTCGTCACAGAATGTGGCATGTCCACCACGAGCCCAGGAACACAAATGGATGAGAGCACCGCACAAAGCTAATTTGAACTGATTTGACACTGATTTGTGGCTAAAATGCACAGAACTCGTAGCAAAATCGTATTCTCTCAATCATTCGCCGTGAGTAACAAACATAAGGGCTCATGAAAAACTGGTTTATACCGGTGGCCATCCGATATTCAAAACCCAGGATCTTGTGTGGTGCATTTTTTAAAGTGCCGACTTGGGATATAAGCCCTCTGAGCTGCCCGGCCATCTCAATGTCCCGCAAGCGTTGAGCTCACGCCGTATGCACGCTCGCCCACTCGCCCGCTCGCTTGCACACCCGCTCGCCCACACACCCGCTCACCCGCTCACCCACTCACCCACTCGCCAGCACACCCACTCGCCCACACACCCGCTCACCCGCTCACCCACTCACCCGCTCGCCAGCACACCCACTCGCCCCACACCCACTCACCCGCTCACCCACTCACCTGCTCGCCCACACACCCGCTCACCCGCTTACCCACTCACCCGCTCGCCCGCACACCCGCTCGCCCGGCCGTTATTCCTCTGCACCTTGTCACTTAGCACCTCGTTCTTGTGTTGTCGCTGCAGATCCTTCCACGTGGGATGCATGGAATCGGCATCATCGGCAACCCTGTAGCCAATGCAGATCACTCAATTTCCGCGTGCTCCAGGTCAGACGGCATTTCCTTTGTGCTATTGTGCACACATTATGCTCTCGTATAAACGCACCTTAATAACCCTACACCGCCAGGGCACCTGCTAAAGATCAGCAGAGCAAAGGAGGGAGGATAGTGTGGCTGGTTCCGTACCGCACCCAGCCAAGCTGATTTTTGCACGCACCTCACCAGGTATTACTCACACACTGAGTCGACTGAAGGGAGGTCCAAGCGATATTCGTTTTCTTCTCATGTATGTGTTTATTTTCTTACATCCATGGATGCATACATACACAGACGCAACATACATGGATGTGTGTCTCTCCAATCAATTACTACAATGCATCTTGCTGATACGTATTCGTTCATTTACCCGTGACGTCGTTCACCATTTGATCTGCATTGGTATGTATAGCGTAACGTGAGCAAAGTTGGACAGCTCGTCTCTCCAGTCGTGGTCCTCCTGCTCATAAACCAAACGGCTTTCATGCAAAATAACAAATTGAGCCTTCAATGCGAATATTGCATATGAATGCAATATTCAGTTGTGAAACATTTTTTTTGGAAAGTGTCATTGAGTCTGAAAGACTTGTACAGAATGATCCTGAAAACGAAAACTACTGAGCTATACAGATTTTTTTTTTCAGAAGCAACCTGGCCACAAATGATAGCTCTACAAAGTAGCTTATCACTTGGAAATTGAGAACAGCCAAATACTCTAAATGCATGTTTCTAAATGTGGAGGGAAATCCCGGAGGACCAGGAGAAAAATCCACGCGACCACGGGGAGAACAGGCAAACGCCAAACATACAGGCATCGGTTGTTTGGCCAATTCCTTTAAAGATTATGTTTTTGCAAGTGGGAGAAATCTGCAGGGACTGGAGAAAACCCAAGCCCACGACAGGAGAACATCTATGTTTTTTCAAAAGTAATGGCACCAGGAGAAGGGTAACGGTAAGTTGAGATGACATTTGGCTGTTGAGATTTGCATTCGGAATGATAAAATCGAGATGATGTTTTCAAAATACTGGCCCACCTGATTGAAGGGCATTCATTCATTCACTGGTTATTAATAAAACACCACTAAGCACCGCTGAAAACGAAACTGGCGAACAGACCTGCCATTGCAACATAGACAGAGAGCACAAATTGAAAGGTGAGTTGCATAACAGTAATATCACCTCGTAATGACAGATGTCAAGGACAGTCACTCTGTGCCATTGTGTGGAGGAAAAAAATAAATATCTGTTACAGATGCAATATTGTTTGGTAATTAAGATATGTCGTCCGTTATTCAACAGTGCGAGATAAGCATAACCTCCAATTCCCAGTGCCAAATTGAACCACACCAGACTCTTTAACTCTCTACAAAAATGTTGTAGAGTGGCGAGATGTTAACTACCTCACTCGGTATACAGGAGGTTGTGGTAAATTTGAAGCTTTCATGACTGCAATGATTCATACTCTTAGTTCTTTCCGTAAAGTCACGTAGGTAAAAAAGTTAATTAAAATTCATAAAACATTTAATAATAAACTTGTGTTGCCTCCGAAACGTCGTGATTTAATTTTTTTATTTTTTATTAATTTTAATTTCATTTTTTACCTACGTGACTTTACCGAAAGAACTAAGAGTAGGAGGTTGTGGGTTTTATCCCGACCCTGACGCTTGTTGTATATTTGGAGTTTGTGTGTCACTCTCTCTCTCCGTGGTCGCGTCGATTTTTCTACGGGTCCTCCGGTTTTTCCCTCCACATTTAGAAACATGCATTTGCAGTATTTAGCTGCGAAACATTTCCACGTGATAAGCCACTTCGTAGAGCTATAATTTGTGGCCAGGTCGCTTCTGAAAAAGAGCTGGTATAGCTCAGTGGGCGTTACCTGGTCAAATAAAAAAGTATACGTAGTTTAACGTGTTATACGAACGTGTTATGGCTGTTCAAGATACCTACTAGGGATGAGTTTCAGATTTAAACAGTGTAAATCATGTTGGCATTTGAAGGTAAATTACAATTTTTTTTATTCTTTTCAGATTCGTCAGGTAATGAACATTATACAATAATTGAAATTGTCTTCCCGATATAACACGATTGATGTTGCCCGATGCCTCATGGCAACACTTTATCGGAGTGTCTGAAATTTTGGTGTCGAAGACTGATTTTCGGATCATTTGGATTTATGGGAAAAAAAATCCGGAACCCATCGCGGATACCTAAATGTCATAGCTTTCAAACATGCCGTCATCATCATGTTAAAGGTTTCTAAAAATATGTTTCATCATTCAGCTATCTGTTATTATTATTCAGTCAAGTCAGCATTCTCATAGTTAGTAATAAACGTAAAAATATTGAAAAAACGGTTTTTATTTTCCCCAAATGGCATATTAGCTGAAGTATTGACTGACGTACATTTTTCTTTTTCAGTGTCATTTCAATTCCCTCAAGGTTTATATTTAGCATAATGTTTGGGGCTCATTAGTATATATGTTTTTTTTATCATTTTCAGGCAGTCATCACATTTCTTAGCAAACGGATACAGACTCACCCAAAGCTTTTGCGGGGAACTTTGAATGTTTACTTTGGTAAATTGTTGGCATTGTGAAGCCAAAATTCGGTAAAATTCTGCATTTTATAACGCACGTATATATTTTAGTTCGGTTTTCATTCAATGAGAAAACGTCGTGATTTTTTTTCTTTTATTTTCGAGGTGCCAATTTGCTTACGGCCATTGCGGAACACATTTCACCCGACTGCAAACGCCGTCCGATCCAATCGCACGCAAGAATTTGCAATCACACGATTTCACTTGCCCTAAAAAGGATGGCCATCACGGCGGAATGGCCCACAAATCAAACTCGCCCTGGAAATGCGCCCGTTCCCTTCAAATCTCTGAAGCTAAGCCAGGTTGGAGCCTGGACAGTGCTTGGGTTGGCGGAACACCATGCACAAACAGGGTGACGATAGGCTGCTAGGTGGCTACGTGGTGGAGCAGCAGAGTGCAATGCAGCGGCAGTTATTTTTTTGGAACTGCACATCGATGCTCCCTGCCTTTACCAGACAAACACTGACAAGTGTGGCGAACGATGTTCACATAACCCTCGCGACCCGTGTGGCGTTTGGGAGGCTCTCATCCAGCAGTGGATAAAAAAAATCACCACGTGGCTTGTAAATGCTTCTTAGAAATTTGCTGCACAATCAGCGGCCGCGCGTGTCCCTTGCATTCGATTCGGCAAGACCCACTGAGCGATGCAGTTATTTTTTTCAAAGCGACCTGGTCACAAATGATAGCTCAACGAAGTGGCTTATCGCGTGGAAACGTATAGCAGCCAAACACTCTAAACGCATCTTTGTAAATGTGGAGGGGGTAAAACCAGAGGACCCAGAAAACAATCCACGCGACCACGGGGAGAGAGACACGCACACTCCAAATGCACAGCAGGCGTCAGGCTCGGGATAGAACCCACGACCTCTTGTGTACCTGGCGAGGTATTTAACATCTCACCACCACGGCAAGGATGTAGAATTCTTCGTAATTTCGCACTGAAATTCTAGTACCCGCAGCATGCGGATTATAATGCAGTGTAATTGCACGTTGACTGCAATGTGTCGAACATCCTGCATTTTGTATAATCCGATATAAACTTTCAGCAGGTTTTTTTTCTCTCTTTGTCAACGCACTTATGAGTAGCAATCGATACACAGAGATGGCATAATCAAAAAAGGCACGCTCACACTGGAGGATAATTACTGTTATTACCGTTACACAATTTGTTTATTGGCTTTAATACAAACGTTGAACCAAATACGGCATAACATCATTGAGTGAAAATATGAGGGTGGCGTTACGCGCACTCGCATATACTCATCGAATTCCCAGACACCCCCTTAAGCTGACGTCTACATGCTATACAAAGGCATCAATCTGTTACTGAAAAGTGTTGCTCAATAGTATTGTTCTGCTTTCAGACTTCCTCACGCAGTGTTGAGTAAAGTCAATAATTATCTTCTGCGTCTCATTGCCAGTGGAAAGGATATTATATTCTAAGTGCTGGATGCATTTCTGTTAAGACACCAATACTCATAGACTGGACTCAAAAGTCGATGGGCAATGAACAGTGTTCAACCCCATTGACTTTCAGAGTCATTGGTAGAAGTTATACATTTTTTTTATTGCATATATATGTATATATAATCAATACAATTTGTGTTTGTAATGTATGGACCCAAAAACATCGTGGATTTATTGTGAAACGAGATCGCCTTGATGTCTTTTAAAGTGAAAGTGTCTCCATTGTGCTACTTGAAATCGTTTGCACTGAACCAATTGTTGGGGATTCCTCATTTCTGCGGTTTAGGACAATCTATTGGGCAGCCACTGCCAACTTCACACGAAGTGGTACTCACTTTATCGATCCTGGAAGGATGTGCTAATTCAACCTTGAGCGGGACTTGAACTTACAGTCTTCTGATTTTGAGTGACAGCCTCTAACTCCAATACTACTTTGAAAGACACGGTCATAATGATATTCTCTGAGTATGGAGACTTTTCCCATAAGCAATTTCTTTAGATATTTTACCAAATTGCCTAAAAGACGGCTTTTGCAAACTGGAAGGAAACCATGCTATCTGTAAGAGACCCACACAAATGACAGAATAACACTCACAATATCCAAAGAGATAGGTTTGCAACTGGCACATAGTGGCGGTTCACGTCTCCTGCTTGTGAGTGTCTCAAACATAGCGTGGCTCCATCTGTGCACGATTCACCAATCCCCACCACCACGACGCTTGATAACAGGAAGGCATTGGCACAGCACCCAATTATATACAATGATATCCAGTAGAACCCCTCTTAACGAACACCCCTGCTAACGACGAATCGCTTAACAGCGAGCCTCCATAGAGCCCAGTGTGTTCGCTTACCGACCAATCCCCCTGTTAACGAAGGGCTTACGACGAGCACGTGACCGCCAATTTCGGCCAATCGGCGAGCTCCAAAGTGGTCTGATCAGGCCTCG